GGTTTCTCTCCTATAAAGTTCACGACCTCCCTTGCTTCTTCTTCTAGGATTTCATCATTCATATCTAAAGCATGCACAACATAAAAATCAGTAGCATTATCAACTTTATACAATTGTAAATCCTCATTGACTAACCGATCTACCACATCAATTCTAAAAGCTTCTTCATCCTTATTATAATTTTTCATAGCCTCAAAAACATTAAAACTCACTTCTTCATCTTGAATCCTAAATCGAATCACCCCTCGTTTAACATCAATTAACGCTCCCCTAGTTGCTAAAAATGGCCTACCTAAAATTAAAGGCATATTTAGCATCATCTTCTATGTCAAGCACAATAAAATCAATTGGGAAAATAAACCTCTCAACTTTAACCAAAACATCCTCTATTATTCTCCTAGGATATCCGATACTTCTATCAGCTAATTGTAGAGAAATAGTAGTGGGTAAAGGATCTTCCATTCTAAGCTTTGTAAAAACAGAGAAAGGCATTAAATTAATGCTAGCTCCTAGATCACATAATACCTTTTCAAAAGTAATACTACCAATAGTACAAGGTATAGAGAAACTCCTTGGGTCATTCATCTTTGGCTGTAACGTATTGAGAATAATTGAGGAACATTCTTCATTCAACTTCACGAGTCTCAAATTCCTCCAGTTTCCTGTTGTTAGCAATCAAATCTTTCAAGAATTTAGCATAACTAGGCATCCGTAAAATAGCATCTAAAAGAGGTATGTTAATATGCAACTTCTTAAAAACCTCTAAAAATTTTAAAATTTCTTATCGAGATTAGCTTGTGCAAGTCTCTCGGGAAAAGGAACAGGAGGTTTATATGGTTTGACATTCGGGCCTACGAAGAGTTTCCTCTTCGATTCTTTATCCTCCATAATGTTATGTTTATCATAAAGATCATCACTAAGGAATACTCTTTCCTCTTCTTTACCCTTACCAAAATACCCCACTTGTTTTCCACCTTTTAAGGTGATGGCCTTGACATGCTCTCTTGGGTTTTTCACGGTATTACTTGGCAGTGCCTCCTTGTTGTCTCTCGACCATCATGGTAGCTAACTCGCCTAATTTGTACTTCTAATTTTTTAATGGATGCCTTTTGGCTTTGAAACTTGGCATCGGCATTCCGGATGAATTTAGACATTAAATCCTCCAAATTAGGTTTTTTCTCTTGTTGAGGTGGTGCTCTAAAGCCGGGAGACCCCTTTGATTGATCACTACTCTATGAAAAGTTCGAATGGCTCCTCCATCCGGGTTTGTAGGAGTCGAGTACTGGTTAAAACCTCGTTCGTTAGCATTTGAAACAAAGTTAGCTTGTTTAGACATAAATGGATTATCCACTTGACAAGTTGCACTATCATGGCCTAACTCGTCCACATAAATCACAAAGATTAGAATTTGCAATAACTCCCATTGAATCTATTTTCTTACTAAGAGCGATAATTTGGGCATTTAAAGAAATAAACGAATCTACCGAATAAATACCACTTCCTTTTTTTACAATTCTCTCATTACCCCCATTGATAGCTGTTAGTAGCCATCTCTTCCAATAAATCATAGGCATCATTTGGAGTCTTTCTCATAATGGTACCACTGCAATTGCATCAATCATAGAATGATTATAAGAGTTAAAACCATTATAAAAAGCTTGCACTTAAAGCCATACGGGTAAGCCATGGTGAGGACATTTTCTAAAAAGATCTTTAAACCTCTCCCAAGCTTCATATAAAGACTCAACATCAAATTGGAAAAAAGTGGTTATGTCATTCCTAAATCTAGCAATTTTTTAGGGTGGAAAGAATTTAGATAAAAATTTCGAGCCATGTCATTCCACGTACCGATCGATCTTACAGGAAGAGACAATAACCAACTTTTTGCTTTATCCCTAAGAGAAAATAGAAATAATCTAAGTCTAATAGCATCGGGATCGACACCATTAAATCTAAAAGTATCACAAATCTCAAGAAAATTAGCAATATGCAAATTAGGATCATCATTAGGTAATCCACCAAATTGCACACTCGTTTGGATCATCTAAATAATGGCTGGTTTGATCTCAAAATTGTTAGCACCAATAGCCGGCCTTCTAATACTTGAAGCTATTCCCTCCAAGGATGGTGTGGCATACTCAATCGGAATTCTCATGTCTACTTGCTCCTCGTTTTCATCATCTACCATAGTGCTCCTTTTCTACTCTCTCAAACGTTCTCTAAATGTACTTTCAATCTCGGGATCAAAAGCCGCAAGTTTGTCACTACTAGTGCGGGTCATGCACTAGTAAACCTACAACTCACAAGAACTTAAGAATGCAAAAGAAAAAGACAAATAAAAATTACAAATAAAAATAAAAATAAATAAAGCTAAATTAAAATTCAATCTTGATTCAGATTATAAATCTCAATATGCAATTATAATTCTCCGACAACGACGCCAAAAATTCGTTACTACTTTTTTAACACAATCGGAAAAGTAATAAATCCAATCTAATCATGAAATAAAGGGTAAGAAAGTATCGTTTCCACGAGGAATTAAATTACACTACTAAAATTATCTAACTTAAAATAAGTTGAATTAATCAAAATAATTAAATGAATTAAATTAAAACTCTATTCTAAAGTTGTAGGATTGAAAATTACTAATAAGATGATATGAAAGTAGCTAGGGATAGATTCATTTAATTCTCACTTATGCAATTAACTATATTAACTCAACTCATAAACTACATTAAGGTCTATCTTAATATATTTGACGACGGAATTCCCCGAACAAGTTAATAAGCTATCTCTAGTCGATTAACCCTATTCTTCACCTAACAAATCATCCATATTTCTATATGACTTAAATTAAGATCTAAATGCATTATAATTAATGAAATTCTCTAATGTAAAATAAGCATGCCATCACGCACTCCTCTTTTCCATGATCGCACTAGAACTAGTTATCTTTCGATTAATAGTAAACTAGTTATTTATATTGTTTTGATCTAACACATACAATTTCCTCTCGTGCTCAAGCACATGTCATTAAATCAATAAGAGGTGATCGCTCTTTTAAAGCATTAAATGCAGCAATATAAATTCATCATACATCAAGAATTAGGTTTTGAGTTGAGAAAAATAATTAATCACATAGAATAAGAATTAAAATCCTCCATCCCTAACTTAACAATTTATTTCTCCATCAAGAAATTTATTGGATCCGAAAATAAAATATCACATCAACAATCCATCAAAATAATAATTAAAAAAAATAATTACTTGTCTAATGAATCCGTATCCTTCTATAGATTTTTTTTCTTCTAGCTGCCGCTCCAATTTCCTTCTTTTTTCTCGCCGTGCAATCTATCCACTGCAGAGCAAGTGCCAAGCCTTATATACCAAATTTTGTTACTCGCCGTGCAAAACTCCTTTTTTTAGTGCCGTGCAACTCCACAATCTACTTCCATGCATGCAAATCGCTTTCTTTACTTTTTTTAGCCTTCCCGGTACAACTACCTCTTTCTTTATTTTTTCTTTCTCTCTCGTCGTCCTCCTCTTTCACTATGCCTATAACTCTTTCTTTCAAAGCCATAGACTCCTTTTTCTAGTCCACCACGTCACTCTCCTTTTAGTTTTACATTGCCATGCCTTAAGTCTACCTTATCATACTTACACCTTTTCCTTTATACTAGAATCTCCTTTTTAGTCAAGCACGTAAGTCTCCTCCGAATGTGATGAATTGATTTTTTAAGGTGTCTAAGTCAAACACTTTTTTCTTCTTTACTCTTTAATCCTTGCTTTTGATTTTTCTTTCATTTCGAGTTCTTGTTTTTGCCTTACTTCTTAGTCTTCTCTTTAATCTTTATACCTACAAATTCAAAGCATATGAGGATTAATTTATATCAAATAAAACATAAATCACATGCATAATTAACGAATTCAAGCTCCAAGTTTACATAAAATATATGTATAAATTATAATTATCAAGTACTCTAACAAGATTTGACTGATCGTGTCCTTATCGATGGGCAAAATCTAGCCTCTACCATCCGTTTAAGTCATCATTGACTTAAACAATCTAGGAATTTAAAACGGATCGAGCAAACTTCAATTGTACCGATCTTTGTTCGATTTCTTTCATCTCTTTGTATAGTTGGGCTTTATTATACTCCAAGTCAACTTGTTCCTTGTTTAGAACCATGGCGAGCTTTTGTTGGAGTTCCTCTTATGAAGGTTTGCTTGTTTTCTTCAAATGAGCCTTGTATCTTTTTTTTTCTTCCAACACTTCAGCAATAGTATTCTTTGATGCCTTGAATGGATCTATTTATAGTCATCCGACACAAAGTTGCAAAGAAATTGAGATCAGCAAACTCGTTAGATATAAAAAAACTAGGTCTCCATAATTCTTAAAGGCCCTATTATGATCGAATAAGACATAATTGAATTTTCTAATTTAAAGTAGTACTTGGTTCAATAGAAATCTCCATTGGTACCGAGAGCCTCGATGAAGGATCTAGTTCCTAACTAATTTCCATACTAGGGTTATGGTTCGAGTCACTTTCATCCTCGTTGTCGTTATGATAGAAGTTTAAATCTTGAGAGCCAATCTCTTTAGTGTGTTTTGTCAAAGCTGTTGTAGGTGGTGATTGATAGAGGATTAAGGCAATGGTTGTATCATGTTACGACCCAAATTTTTCTAGAAAAAAAAGGAAAAATACAAAACAAATAAAAAAGAGAAAAAAAGGAATGAAAAAATAAAATTGAGGGATGTAATTGAAAAAGAAGAAGAGAAAAAGACCAAAGTAAAACAAGTTTGTAAAAAAAATTATCCTAGAAAACCTATAAAACTCGGTATAAATACTCCAACTTTCTTTAAAACCCTCTTGCCACTCTCTCTAGAAAATCCAGTTGACTTTCTCTCTTAAAATTGGATTCCGACTAGCTTTTCCACTCCTAAAAAACTCGATCGGCCATACCAAATTGAATTAGCGACCCTCTAGTCAAATCTCTAGCTAGTCCAACCCTATCCAACCCTCTTTAACCGATATCCCATTGCCATTCAACTTCTTCGATTCATCGCCTAATCTAACTCCACATCGAATCGGCAATTGTGACAACAATTCCTCTTCCACGAACCAGCATCGTTTGATAGCCCTTCTAACACCACTCGATGTCGTTTCAAGTAACCTTGAACCTCTATAGTCCGGTCTCGATCTCCTTCACCCTAAGTTGGCCACCACCCGACCCATGAAACAACAACTCCTCATCAATCTATAGTATCCCGATCCGGTCTAGCGGATACAATAACCTAGCCTAGCCCGATCCAATCCAATAGATATAGCGACCTCGACCTAGCATAATCTAGTCTAGCAACTACAAGCGACCTCGACCCATCCAAGTCTAATCCAACATCCACGACGATCAATCTAGCTCGATCGGCGACCTCTCCTTTAGTAGATCTAACCCTCCAACCTCTCCTCCAACCAATCCCACCCTTCTAGTAAATCAGCCACTAGTACATTCAAACTAGCCGGCGGCCACCCTACTAGTCCAATCACTAATAGTTACCTAGTACATATCGGATCTCAATTTGACAACAAACATCCATCCTATAATACTCGATACCGATTAAAATCGTTATTAAATAAGTTTAAGGATGTTAAAGGCATGTGAAAAATGTTTTGAGGGCATGAAATATTTAGAATAGCTAAAATAGGTTTTTCCATAGTTAGTGAATATTTTATTGATTTTTTGGTACATGAATAGTGACTTTTATGTGAAATAATTATTTTAAACATGTTAAATGTATCCGAAAAGTATTTTGTTTGCGTAGAATATTTGCTAAAGGGTGTTAGATTATTTGATGCCATTGGATGAAGTTTTTTATGTTTTGTGATTATTTTATTTGAACTTTTCAATACATGAATAGTATTTTCTACATAAATTGATTATTTTAAGTGCTTTAAAAGTGTAAGAAAATTACCTAGTGGATATGAAAAAAATCATTTAGGATGTGTAGGAATATTCCATGAATTTAGTTGAATTTTTCTATACATAAGGAATATTTTCTATAGAAATAAGTGTATTTCTACATAAAATAATTAATTAGAAGGCTTAAATGAGTGTATAAAAATTATGTGAATGGTGAATAAGTTCTTATAGGATGTGTTTGAAATTATTATGAAAATAAATTAATTTTTGGAAAGGTATGGAATAAATTTTATAGAATTAGGGACTTAATTGCATAAAATTAAAAGTTTTAACTTTCAAATTAAATTAGGATTGAACTTTAGGAGGTAAATTTTTTTTACAAACCTTTAAAGGAAGGACCTAAAGTGATCAATTGAATAATTAAAGGACTTATGGAAGAGTAATTGAAGAAAATATTAACAAATTAAAAGACTAAAATTAAGCAATTTTTGGGAGAAATTTCTTCACCTTTTGTCGCCATTTTCACCCCAATTATTTGAGTGTAATTAATGCATACACAAATGGAGGGTTATGGATTAAAGAGAATGACTAAATTGAAAGGTGAAAATTAAAGAAACGATGGATGACTAGGATGAAACAAATTGAAAGGTCGGGATTAAAAGGAGAATTAATGGCCAAGATTAAACCAAATGAAGGGTTGAGATGGATTCAATCAAGAGAAAAAGTCCAACAAATCTTAACTATAATATGGATGGTAGGAAAAATAGAAAAATGTTAGAGAATTGGGAAAATAAGGGGAAACTTTGCAAATGTTTCATAAACCTCCACCCAAATTCTCATTGAAACACTTCCATACCTTAAAAAACCTAATCAAGCTTAGAATTCAAGTTAAAACATCAAGAATCACAAGGAGAAAAATTGGAAGATTGAGTCAAAATTTAGAGGACCAAAGGGGAAAAAGGATTTCTCAAGCAATCTAATTTTTCAAAGTTTAATTAGAGCTATATAAGTAAGTTAAACTCACCTACACCACAAGAAGGTGTTTATTGATGCTAATTATTATCTTGGAAGCTTTAATTTTTATTTAATTACTTTAATTTTGAAAATCAAGATTAGGGTTCTTAGTAAAAAAAAAATTGAAGAAAATGATTTTGAGTTAAAAGTTCATGTAATTGAGCTTAAAACATGTTAATTGGGCTTGAAACTGATAAAGAAAAATAAAAACAATTCCTAGGATTAGGAAAGAGAAACCATTCGACCCAAAATAAGGAATTTAGGGTTTTTTATTCTTTGATTTGTTTAATGTTTTATTGCTTAATTATGTGTTAATTAGGTATGAATTAATGATTGAGTATGAAAAATTACATTAAAAATGGAGAATTTTCCTTGATGTTAAGGGTATATTTGGCCTAAAACTAAGAAAATTAGGGTTTTGATTCCTTTGTTTGTTTGATGAATCATTGATTAATTAGGAGTTAATTAAGCATGAATTGAAGAATGAGAAATTTTATTAAAATTGAAAAATTAATCTAGATTACCCTAATTAGGGTTTTGACCCATTAGGTCTAATTTAGGGTTTTTATGTGCATTTAACCTATGAAAGCTTGATTGGTTAAATTCTTGATACTAAAGTGTAATTGAATGAATTAACATGAAAAAAATAGCATGAAATTGAAATACTTTACCTAGCCTAATTAAATGATTTATTCGGCCACCTTAGGAAAAATTTAGGTTTTATGGTTTATATGATGTCATTGAATGTGAATTATGTGATGGTTATGTATGGAAGTGGTGAATTTAATTATTAAAAAGTGTAATGGCTTATTATGTTGATATGCCAATGTATGGCTATGTAATGTTTACATTAATGGTTTCTTGTTTGAGTTGATTTGGAATGGCATTACAAGTTATTGAATTTATGAGGCAATTATGGTATTGAGATATGCATTATTATGGAATAATTGCAAAGCATTCATGGTATGCATTTTATGAATTCATAATGGTTATGTATTTATATTAAAATTCATATGCATGCCAATTCACAAAAAGGATTTTATGAAAAGGTTTTAAGTCATGAAAAAGGATTTTTCCTTAAGGGTTTTTCAATAGCAATTGAAAATATTTCATGATTATGAGGTTTTCATAACTTACATAGTTTTTATAAGGAGGGCTTCATGATTTTTTCATACCTTTTATGGTGCATAGTTCGGGGCCGGAAGAGTACAAACGTGCACTCTCGGAGACTTGATAGAGCGCATCCATAAACGGGTCGCAGTTCTCAAAACATATTATAAAAATCCTAAAATTCCTATATTGGGGCATGTCCAAAGATTAAAAAAAAAAAAAAATTAGACTCGTTTATGATAAGGATTATATGACATGAAAAAGGATTTCATGATGAGCATGCAAATGATTATTATATGCATTTCATATACATGCATATCATGCATGGGTTAACTTAGTTCGTCACTCACCTAGTTTTTTATGGTGTAAGCAATATAGGTAAAAATGGCAATATTCACATGTGAAATATTCACCGAGGGATTCATGAGTTGCATATATCTTAGATGGGGCTTCGATTTTCAAGTGGACCTTCTTCATGTGATATTTTTCTTAATGCTTGGTATTGTGCTTTATGCTTTAGGTATGACAAGTTTCTTTTGCATAACGAGTTAAAGTAATGAACTAGTAGACCAATAGTTAAGAATATGATGTAAATAGGTAAATAAGCTATTTTTGGAATAGATGGCATAAGTTGGTTTATATGTAAGTATGCGTAGTTTTTATGTAACCAAAACTTGAAACAAATTGGTACTAGTGAAATGACGTAGTTATGGTTAGCATTAGTTTATTTAAATCAACTCCTATACATTAGCGTCAATAATAAAACATGATCGCTAAACTAGTAAAGAAGATAATAATAATAAATGGCAATTAATAAGAATAAAAGAAATTAGTTACCAAATAACGTGTAATTAGAAAATAAATTTCTACCTACTAATAGAAAAATAATTTGGAAAAACCAAGCGTCATGGACCTAGTTCATTCGAGTCCGATCAACCTAAATAAAATAATAAAATGCAAAAAAAATTATAGTACTTTTGGACTGAAATGTAGGACTTATGTCATTTATAAGCTTTTGCGGCGTATTCCATACCTAGTAATTTTATAGGAAAGACATAGAGTCTTGTAGGCTTACATTCATTGCACTTCGAATGTAAGTTAATGACGATAATATTCTCAACCTACTAGATCCTCGATCGAGGGTGTTACACGTCCCTTCTTCTCGATTGATTGAATATCAATCTCCATCTAAGTTGAAAAGGTTGGAATTGACCTCAATTCAACGATCAAATTCATTCAAATTTTTTTTTACGGTAATTTATTTTTAACCTTTTATTTATTTATTTTATTTTAAGATGTATTAAATTTAATTCATATTGATATGTACGTAAATTAATTATATTGTTGTTATGGTTGTATTGTTTGACTATGTGGTTGTATGATTTTAAATGATTGTTGTTGTGCTTATATGGTTTGACTAACATCTTATTATTTTATAAACATTTATTATTATTTGTGTAAGCTGTCTTTCATTGGTCCGACCTTATTTTTGGAATGGTAACCTCATTTTTGATATGGTAACATTAAATTGCTCAAGAGCTAATTTTATCTAAAACAATAAAATTTTGACTCATGCCATTCTAAACCTCGTTGTTTAAGCCAATTTTGTCGACTAATGATTAATTTTGACTTTGTTGCCAATTCGCCTAAACAATGTAATTCTAAAGTTACATGGGTTCGAACTTCATTTTAGGATCATTTTTTCCATTGCAATGATTAATTAACATTGTGTTGCTTTTTCTTAAAAATATGATTCTTGAGTTGCGTTGGTCTAAATCTTATTTTTGGAACGTGTTGCAAATTATGATGATTAACTCTATATTGTGTTGATTTTTTCCTAAAAATATGATGTCTAAATCATGTTGGTCTAACTCTCGTTTTTTATTCATTTTTGCCAATTTCAATGATGTTGTTGATTTTGCTTGAAAATCACAACTTTTAAAGTTGTGTCGATCCAGAACCCTCGCTTTTGGATCGTTTTTGCCAATTTCAATGATCTTGCTCATTTGCCTAGAAAATCATGACATTTGAACTCATGTTGATCCAAACCCCATTGTCAACTTGTTTTTGTCATTTTTTCTATAATTTTGTCGTTTTTATTGCTTTTGTCATTTTTGTCATTTTTGTTGTTTTTATCACTTTTTTTGTTGTTTTTTGTTGCATTTTGTCTATTTTGCAAATGTTTCCATTTTTTTATTTTTATTTCTTTTATCAATTTCCTTTTTTTTTTTTTTTTTTGCTTGTTTGCCTATTTTTATCCTTTTGCCCATTTGCTTATTTGCCTATTTTGTCTATTTGTCATTTTACTTATTTTGCCTACTTGCTTATTTGCGTATTCTACCTATTTGCTTATTTTGCTTATTGGTCTATTTTGCTTATTTGTTTGTTTATCAATTTGCATATTTGTCTATTTAACT